CGCCATTCTATTTACCTAATTTAAATCCGCAATTTATTTGCAAAAATTAATCATTTCTGGCCACCAGACAGCCATAACTCCCCAGATAGCATACATAGGCCTATGGTGAAATGACATTGATTCCATATCAGACAAAAAGGTTGGAACAACGTTGATCTTCAATGTTTCACTTTATATCAACATTGAATCACGGTTTTGCCACAATCAGTTTTTCAATATTGAAAATCTGACCAAAAATCAATTCAGTTTCAACGTTGACAATTTAACACTGACCATAATTCAACGCATTTAACTATAGTTCAATGTTGAAACAATAACTTTTGTTTCAACAAACATTTATTCAGCAGAACTTTAGTCCAAAGCGATGTACAGCTGAAGGATCAGAGCCAGGGTCCGCAGCAGCTTAAGCCCCCCCCCCCGGGTATATGAGTACTCCCTTTCCCATGGGATTTGAGTACACAATCATCTGGATGTGGGCAAGGAGCACTAATGCATTACGACACCCAGAATAATAAAATCTATGCTTCAGACTAATGCCTAGATCTTGTAGTTACCAGAGACCAATAGAAAGGATACAACTGGAATTATATGGAAATGACAATGTTGGGCAAGTTTGAAAGGAAAGAATGGTGGAAAGTACAGCTTCAGGGGAGATACCCAGACCTCCCTCTCCCCAGCTACCTCCACCAGCTCCTCGGGGAGGACGCCGAGGCGTTCCCAGGCCAGCCGAGAGATATAATCCCTCCAGCGAGTCCTGGGTCTGCCCCGGGGCCTCCTCCCTGTAGGGCAGGCACGGAGAACCTCTCCGGGTAGCCGCCCAGGAGGCATCCACACCAGATGTCCAAACCACCTCAACTGGCTCCTTTCGACGTGAAGAAGCAGCGGTTCTACTCCGAGGCCCTCCCGGATATCCGAACTTCTCACCCTATCCCTAAGGGAGAGCCCAGACACCCTGCGGAGAAACCTCATTTCGGCCGCCTGTATTCGCGATCTCATTCTTTCGGTCATTACCCATAGCTCATGACCATAGGTGAGGGTAGGGACGAAGATGGACCAATAGATCGAGAACTTTGCTTTCGGGCTCAGTTCTTTCTTAGCTACGACGAACCGGTTAAGCACCCGCAAAACTCCAGATGCTGCACTGATTCGTCTGTCCAGCTCTCGATCTCGCCTACCCTCACTCGTGAACAAGACCCCAAGAAGAATTCCAGAAGAAGAGAGCGTCCAGCCCCTCTCCAGGAGATTGGTCCCTTGGCCCCACGGGCCAAGGCCCGGCCACCAGGCGCTCGCCAACGGGCCCCTCCCCCAGGCCTGGCTCCAGGGTGGGGCCC